CAGCAGGATCTTCTGGTCCTTACCCAGCCTGGCCAGGGTGGTGGAGAATCCCTGTTGTGAGTCGTACACTGGCAGATTTTACTATGCAGGTTGTGTATCTCACCACATGCGACAACCTTAGCGACAGCCGAGTGTCTGTTTATGGTTCACTTGGTGATGCACTAACACTAAAACAAAGGGAGAGCTGGGTACTGATGTGGGTTGCTTCACAATCTGTAACCCAGTATTAGACAAGGTCTTTCTAATCTGAGCACAGGTTACCTCAGGTTGCTTTGTGGCATTTGGCACATTAGTTTTAAACAGGATGGTACAGCCACCTTGTTCCTGCCAAAGAGATGACCTGTTCAAACTAACACACCAACAAACAAACAATCAGAAATCTAGTTTCCAGATACAATTGAAAGCAATTAGGACGGACGATATACACAGCTCACCCCCCCGCAAAAGACTGTGGTAATTCTTGGAAAATTCACCTCATGTTATCGATTGAATTTATCTGATATTTTCAAAGACATTTAATACTTGAAAATTTTCAGAATGTGTTGAAAAATTTTACTAAATGTTGATTAAATTTAAAAAAATATATGAATGCAGTTCCTTAACTGGTGCAAGCTTAGGTGACAGACTCCTTGAAGACAAGGACTACAGCCTGTTCCACATGATTGTTAGGTGGTCTAAAAATGAAGGCTGACTTGAATCAAAGGAGCCTGTCGTGTGCTTGCCTTTCATTTGTGGGTAAGCGGAGCAGTGCGCACATGACATATTTGGGTAAGGTCAGATGAATAGAGAAGGACTGACTCTGCCTCACAGCCTTTCTTCCCTCCTGTAAGGCAACCTTCAGGTTTTACATTAGATGATACTAGAGTCCCATGATAATGTCATACTTGAAATTTAGGCTTTGGAACTGCCGGATAGGTGAGAATTACATTTCACAACTCTTCATCCAACATCATTCAATTTGAGATACTTGGGCTGAGAGTACTGTTTATAATTACAACACGACAACAATCATCAGTCAGACCTGTCCCAAGGCTACCTGGGACCCATAAGCACCATATCTTGCACTGTGCCCAAAACACTGCGTTCAGTTCTGCTAATCTATCAGGGCAGAAAGGCCATTAGGAACCTCAGCTTTGTCCTGAGGGATTAGCTATTATTTTGAAGCTACAAGACAGATGACAAGACATGAGATTTGTGACACAAATATTCTTTATCCACCTTCTAAGATAGAGCCAAACCAAGATCATGGTTTCCCTCAGTGATAACACCCACTCAGCTCCCAGTTCCTGTAGGAAATCATGGCGTTTAGCCAACCTAGAGAACAGAATGTGGTTCATTGGAAACTCGGATTGGTTTCTCATTATTAACAGTGAGTCACTCAACTGAGAAACTATTGCTGTAAAGGAGGAATTCAGGAACACAAGAGGCAAGACAACATGGGGAAAACGCATGGGAGAATAAAGCAAACATTTCACTACATGCTTTTCAATTTATACCTTTAAGTTTGATATAACTTAAGGGTATAGATTGAAGTGGGCAGGCGAACAGACCCAAACACTGGCATCACCTGGGAGTTCATTAGAAATGCACGATCTTATGCCCAGAGACCTACTAAATCAGATTCTGTGTTTTTTTTTCCAGTTTGTTTTTTTTTGCGGTACGCGGGCCTGTCGCTGTTGCGGCCTCTCCCGTTGCGGAGCACAGTCTCCGGACGCGCAGGCTCAGCGGCCCTGGCTCACGGGCCCAGCCGCTCCGCGGCATGTGGGATCTTCCCAGACCGGGGCACGAACCCGTGTCCCCTGCATCGGCAGGCGGACTCTCAACCACTGCGCCACCAGGGAAGCCCAGTTTCTGTGTTTTTAACAAGACCCCCTGGTGATTTGCATACTAAAATTTGAGAAGTAATGCTTTATAGTGATCACTTTGCTTTTCCTCCTCCTTCTCGGATTCATCTGGGCATGTACTTAGAGAAGACTCAATGGCCTGAACACGGATTGCTTTGTGTAATCTCTGCAATGATTCATTTAATGTAGTGCTCTTTCTTTTTCTACCAGCAGTGTGCTTCCAGGCCACCAATGCTTGCTGTCCTAGGAAATGATTATACATTATAACTAACTTTGTGGAATGTACATTCATCTATACAAACTGCAGCTGGGAACTTGTCTTAAGCAAAATTACACGATATACACCAACAGTATGTGTGCGATTGTGGAAGCTGACAAGCTACTAACACTTATCAAAGAAAACCTGCGAAAAATACTCCATTTTACCACTAGGTGGAAATAGAGTAATTTTGAGTGTATTTTTCAGGGCTATCAACTACTGCAGGAGTACTTCATAAACTGAAAGGATTCTAAGAAATTAATTAGTCTAATCCTTACCTCCTTAATTCCATAGATGAGAAAACTGAGGTTTAGAGATATTAAAGAAAATTGCATCTGTCTTATAACTAGTAGTCTACTAGAGCCACTGGGGGAAGAGTCGCTAGTAATTCAGGATTCTTCAACCATTTTCATCTACAAGAATAATGTATTATTATCCTCCAGCATGAAGGAACACATGATGTGACACCTATACTGTCACTGTGCTGCCACTCAAACTAATGACCAGCACAGTTCCTTCTGTGTGTAAGGATAGGCTAGGATAAAACTGTTGTCCCTTGTTCCTTGTATTGTAATGTAATTAATCTCAATCAAGTGATAATTCTCCTCCCTTTTTCCAATGAAGAGATACTCAACCATCCCATCGACTGAAAAAAATGCACAACCTAAAAACTGAGAATTATGTTTTATTCAGTGGACTTTCTGAGGACTTAAGCCTGGGATACAGCCTCTCAGATAGCTCTGAGGGACTGCTCCAAAGAGGTAAGGGAAGAGCCAGGATATAGAGGACTTTGTGCCGGTAAAACAAACAAACAAACAAACAAAACCATGTAGTTGAATATCAAAATATTACTGCTAAACACAAAAAAACAGACATCTCGAGTTAATGATTTTAGTGCTTTTCTTTGTATGGGAAGATGCAAGAGTCTGGGCTCATTGAAATTATTCTTTTGCTATGCACCTTAACTACTTAGGGCCAAGAGGCTGTTTTCCCTCCATCCTGAATCCCTTCAGAGCACACATCGGGGGCGGCTTTATGGCCACAGCAACATCCTCTGTTTACTGAAATAGCAGGAGATATTTTTTGTCCACAGTCCCGTAAAGTCATACAAGACTTTAATCAGATTTGTTTTCACAACAGATTTGGTTTTTGCACTTATACTGGGTTCAAGTCAAGTAGTCTAGAACAGGACTTTAATTAGCAGGTTAAGAAAGTATTCAATGTTTTTCAGAGCTTGTAATCCATTACTAGTATTCTTTTTTTTTTTTTTTGCGGTACGCGGGCCTCTCACTGTTGTGGCCTCTCCCGTTGCAGAGCACAGGCTCTGGACGCGCAGGCTCAGCAGCCATGGCTCACGGGCCCAGCCGCTCCGCGGCACATGGGATCTTCCTGGACCGGGGCGCGAACCCGTGTCCCCTGCATCGGCAGGCGGGCTCTCAACCACTGCGCCACCAGGGAAACCCCATTACTAGTATTCTTAAGAAAGGAAGGGAATCTGAATTTTGGGCTTGAGGTCCCTTAGAGATAATTGACTTCAATCTCTCTCTGTATTTGTAATAGGGATGAGAGGCATCAGACAACAAGGGATTAAGTGTGTTGCCCACAGTAGCAGAGCAATCACAATGCCCTTCCTCTCTTTTCCATGAGAGACAGTAACAGGCATTTTGGCCTATATCTCTTATGTTTGTTGATGTGTTTTAACCACGAAAGGATTGTTTCCACTTGTCAACTGAAAAAAATGCACAACCTAAAAGTTGAGAATTACGTTTAATTTGGTGGAGTTTCTGAGGACTTAAGCCTGGAAGACAGCCTCTCCAATAGCTCTGAGGGACTGCTCCAAAGAGGGAATGAAGGAGTCAGCATATAGAGGAATTTTTACAACAAAACCCAGAAAGAGCACCAGAAGACTACTGTTAATTAAAGAAAACCAGACATCTCAAGTTAACAAAGTTAACGCTTTTCTATATATGGGAAGATGCAAGGGTCTGGAACCACGCCTTTGATACGGGCCTTAACTATCTAGGACCAGTATTTTGCTTTTTTCCATCCTGAATCCCCTCAGGCGCACAGTCAGGGCACTGCTGTGGCTGAGGCATTGATGGTTGCAGCATCCTTTGTTTACTGATGTGGCAGGGACATTTTTCTTCTACACACTCATCACATCAAAGAGTGTGCTTAAAAGTTAAGTTTTGGGTAACGCCTCTGGTATAAAAACAATTTAAGTACCTGAGTATTTAGTACTATAGTGCCAATTTCCTTCTGCTATTTCTATAGCATGGTTGACTATGATAATCTAAACATTAGTATTCCGGCACTGAGTCCTGGGTATTATCACCATATTCTATACAAAAATGGACGAAACCTGCCGAGCTAGCACATTAATAAGGCAAGTCCAAACACGTAGGAACTGCTTCTCCAGGAGGAGGTGCAGCGGGCCGCGCTAAGTGTCTGGAAGCCAGCACTTGCTTTGCTGAACAAATGACACGCTCAGCTGCCCTCAGAATGTGAATGTTTGCTGAGCAGTAGAGCCTCAGGTGTGTGACCTACCGGCCCTTAGTGGCACAACTGCATGGCCTGAGTCGCTCAGTATTAAAATGGTACCACAAGGAAAACTGGGATGACCCTAAAATTAGGGCAGGAACTAGAAAGGGCTACAGTGCAGGAGAGTAAATGTCCTGAGTCACGCGGGGAGATGACAAACCAAGCTGAGATTTCAGTTTGTTAAGGAAGGTACAAGAGCTAGTGTCTTGGAATAGTTCAGGGGACTGTAGCCTCTACTCTTAATCCCTTGAGGAGAGTGAGCCAGGTGTGGGCCTATTTCACAAGGTCTAGAGTGAGAAGCATCTGGACAGGCATTCTGGTTCTGCCACTCTGCAAACTTTCCCTGCCATATCTCTCTTTCAGAAAGTTGGGATAATATTCTTCAGCAAAAATCTAGCGGAGATCAGTTAATGGATATAAAGGAGCCAGGAAGTACAGCATCCAGCAAGGAGGCACTCAGTAAATGGACCTTATCCTCACCAAGTTGGCTACCCTCTCTGTGTGGCAACTTCCTCACCTCATCCCAGCTCACTCCCACAGAAACCCAGGAGCACCAAGTAAGATACTGCGACAAGCACACTTTGAAAAGTATGACGTTCTACATACAAACACAGGGTATTATTATGATTAAAGGTGAAGAGGAGAAGCGCTGGAATCTAAAGACTTGGGAGCGTGAGGGGAAACTGAAAATATAAATAATAAAACATACTTGAATGAGAACATTTAATAGCAGTGGCAGTCACTTAAGCTGATACCTGCTACAGAGTCTGAGTTTGGAAAACCAGCTTCTTGGGACATCTCCACCCACCCAGCACTTTCTGATAAAATGGTCTAACTCAACTCAGGTATACACCCATCCTGAGGCCCCATTTGGTCCGGGAGTGGCCTGAGGGTGGGGAGAACGGGTTGTCTCAGGAGGGTGTGGGATGAGGGTTTGCCCCCTGTCTGCGAGCAGTGACTAGTGAGGCAAAGAAGTTTATCAATCGATCAATCAAACTACCGATCAATCAATTCCTGCCGTTGGAGCGGAGCGAAGGCTAATCGATTCTTTGGGGGTGTTTTGAACGGAAGAGGGACGGCAGCTTGACGTGGGATAGGTGGGCCGGGCCCGCCGGTAGCCCCTCTGGCTTCCTGGGCGTAAGGAGGCGCGGGAACGTGCAGGGGCTGGCGTCCGGTGTGGTGTGGGGCGCGCCGGGCGAGTCCCTGCTTGCAGGAGGCGCCGGAGGAGTCCTCGTGGCCGGGGCAGGTGGAGCGGGTTTGCCTGTCTGGACCCCCTGAGCGAGGCCCGGAGGCGGGGGGGGGGGGGGGGGGGGGGGGGCGAGGCGCTCCTCTCATTGGCCGCCGGGCGCCGCCCTGCGCGCGCTCCGCCTTTATAAAGCAGCCGCGGTGGCCTGGCGTCCGCACGCCAGGTTCCCGGCGCCCGACCCTCCTTCGCTTTCTCTGCACGCTCGCCCGCCCGCGCCCACCATGGCCACCATTCAGCAGCTGGTAGGAAGATGGTGCTTAGTAGAGAGCAAAGGCTTTGACGAATACATGAAGGAAGTAGGTGAGGTTCCCCAGCATGCGGCGCTGCAACGTGGCACGTGTATGTCTATCTGCCCCTAGGTCCCCTTCGGCGTGCTGGGCTCAGAGGCTGGGCATGCTTGGCTGCCTATCGCCGACCCCGTTATCCTCTTCCACCTCCGTCACGGGCGAGCGGCGGGGAGAGCGTGGGCCTCTTGGTCTGCCCCGCTCTCTGCTGCTTTCCCCTGGGCGCCACCGCACTTGCTCCCTGCCTTTAGCGCGCTCACCCCCCCCTCCCACGCCCAACTTCACTTCTTTCGACCCCTCCAGGCAGCCCTCTTAACTTTACCTATTTTTTTTCCTCCACTACTCGTCCTCCCTAATCCCGACCCCGTCCTCCCACTCGCACTCACTCCGTCGTGGCCGCACCCACTCTCCTTGCCCCCCCTGCCGCATCTTTGTTCCTAGATGGCGCGCGGGGTCCCCTCCCTCTTCTCCACGGGGACGCGGTTTCTAGCAGAAACCCTTTAGAGGGTCTGAACCGGGCTACTGTTTCAGCTTCCATTCCGCTCTCGGCTGCATCTCCCTTACTCGCAGGTCCCCCACCCGCCCTCTCCGGGTGCGCCGGGCCCTTTGGGTTGGCACGGCTCCCCGGGGAGCATCGGGCCATCCTCGCCTCCGCGCCCCAGGGCGGCGCTCAGAGGCGTGGCACTGGCGGCGCTGTCCTGTTGGCGGGTGGCCTGTGGGAGGAGCGCAGTGAGGTTGACTGTGCCCGGGGATGGGGAGGCAGTGCGCCGCGGCCCTGGCCTCTGCATCTAGAGGGTGGAGGGCAGAGAGGCTTTGTTGGGAAACCGCGATCAGAAACTGCCGGTCCCTCCTGCGGCTGCTTTCCTACCACATCCAAGATGGCTGTGGCTTTGCAGAAGGCACTTGACTTGTTAAAAGCCTTCCAAGGAAGGATGAGTCTCTGTAGGAAGATTCAAGTTGTCACTCAAAATAGTGCTGAATTTTCTCCTGTCTTTTTCCTGAGCCGGTGACAACGATTGCATGCTGGTTGAGACACTGGGTAGATTGGCAAACAAAGATGAACCTTTGTCACAGGCCCCTAGGAAGTGGGATGGTGAAGCATGGCAAAGATCCTATCTGAGACAACTGCTGGGACTGGGGGATGCTTTAGAAGCCGCCCTCCCACAAATGTTAACATGACTGCTTTCTGGTGCACAAGTCGCTACAAAGACCTAGGCCCTGAGGTACTTCAGAAACACACCTTCACTAACCTTTATGCAAGACAGTGGCTGCTTAAGGCTGGTTCTGTGGTGACTCTTGAGTGTCTTTACGAGCCTGTGAGTAAAGCCACCTAACGTACTCAAATCAAAGAAGCACATTTGTGTTTGTTCACATGTGTGAGGACCGGAGAAGGCTGTTTCTCTGCCCGTTGAAAGTGAATGTGTTTATCAGATGGCTGGTTTCCAGAGTTCCGGAGTCATGAAGGTTGTCAAGGCTCAATTCATTAGAGAGCAATCAAGGTGTAGGAAAAGCAGAGCCTTTTATTTGTCCAAAGTGAGAATAACTAATGACTCTAACAAAACAAGGCACCAGCCTTGAGCTGGCAAAAGAGAAGTCTTCACGGGGACATTTCAAGCCTGGCTGAGTGTTCATCATCAAGTCAGTTACTCTGTTTAGGTTGTAATCTCCTCATTTGTGAAACCGAGATTTCGCCTAGAACTAAGTTTCCTACTAAATGTTAACATTAAGGGGAAATACACAGATTATAAATTAAATATATCAATACAGTAATTGAGTTACACAGCTCTGAAATAGTTACTCTGTTTGAGGGTAAGATTCTTCCTGTTTGCTAGCATTATGATTGTGCAGTTAACTCTTAAAACTTTGTGTAATTGGCGTGTCTCAGGATCAATGTGGATTTTGTATAGTCTGCTAATCAAATGTTTATCAGGGACCTTTTATGTGCCAGACTGTGGGCTGGAGTCATAGAATACAATGGTTGCCAGAATTGAGGAAACTGTAGAAGTTCGGATATCTTCCCGAACTTTCTGAAAGCCAGCAGAGCATGGTGGCTGAGCTATTTGGAGGCCCACGGCCTGCCTGCATTGTTGGTTCGCAGCCCCCTCCCTCCCTAGCTGAATGAGCTTGAGTAAATTACATCAGTGCCTCACCTCCTCATCTGTAAAATGGAGACAGTGTATCCACCTTCCACAAGGTTGTCATAAGGCTGCCATGAATAATATATGTCAAGTATGAACACATGGTGAGCACTGGATATGTGTTCACGGTGGTTATTGATAAGTGAATAGGTGAAAATATGCACAGCATAGTGATTACAATTGAATTGCTGCTTTTATTATGTAAACTGTAACTTTGGTCCTCCTGTTGTAACATTCTACAGGAGTGGGGCTAGCTCTGCGAAAAATGGGTGCAATAGCTAAACCGGACTGTATCATCACTTCCGACGGCAAAAACCTCACCATAAAAACTGAGACCGCTTTGAAAACAACACAGTTTTCCTGCCTCCTGGGAGAGAATTTTGAAGAGACTACAGCTGATGGCAGAAAAACTCAGGTCAGTCCAAACTTATAATATCACAGAAGCTTCTAGAGTGATAGATTCTATTAATAACAGTCTTACTGCTTCCAGGCAAGAACTTAATGAAAAAGTCACAAGTTGTTTTATGAATTGAGTTGTGACAAATTAGTGAAAGTACCAGCTTCACAACATAGTCTATTTTGTAAAAATAGTTGAAGGGACACGAGAAAGAGTGCGTATCTCTTATGTGCATCTAGATTGAAAAGCGTAAACTGTGTTACGAGTGAAATCAGTATGGGCTAATGAAGTAGACTCGGAAGGGAAAAGATGAAAAAAATGTTGGTTAAGGAGGTTATGAGTCACAGAAACTCTCTTTTATTGTGCTTTGGAAGATTAAAAAGTATACTTTATTTTGGCAGACTGTCTGCAACTTTATAGATGGCGCATTGGTTCAACGTCAGGAATGGGATGGAAAGGAAAGCATAATAACAAGAAAAGTGGAAGACGGAAAATTAGTGGTGGTAAGTGTCTGACATCTTCTATCTTATTGGGCTTCTTGTTTGAACTCGTAGTTCACATAGGTGTTCTGTATCACTGATCATGAGCAGGAGAACTAGGTTTGGAAAGGAAAAAACTGCAAAGTAACAAGGTAAATACAAAACACTAATAACTAAGAAAGCCCTTTGTAGAGATAGAGAAGTGAGATGATGTACTAGAGGATGTAGCAGGAGCTGGGTTTAGTCCATGCTCTGCTGCTACATTTACAGTTCAGGCACACTTCAGAGATATTGCAGGTTGGATTCCAGACCACCGCAATAAACTGAGTATCACAATAAAGTGAGTCATGTGAATTTTTTGGTTTCCCAGTGCATATAAGTTATGTTTATACTATTATGTTAAGTGTGCAATAGCCTTATGTCTGAAAAATCAATATACATACCTCAATTAAAAAAATACTTTAGGGCGTCCCTGGTGGCGCAGTGGTTGAGAGCCCGCCTGCCCATGCAGGGGACACGGGTTTGTGCCCCGGTCCGGGAGGATCCCACATGCCGCGGAGCGGCTGGGCCTGTGAGCCGTGGCCGCTGAGCCTACGCGTCCGGAGCCTGTGCTCCGCAACGGGAGAGGCCACAACAGTGAGAGGCCCGCGTACTGCAAAAAAAAACCAAACAAACAAGAAAACTTCATTGCTAATAACTGCCCCCAAATTACAATAGTAATACCAAAGATCACTAATCACTGATCACCAAAACCAATATAATAATAATGAAAAAGTTTGAAATATTGTGAGAATTACTAACATGTGACACAGAGACAGGAAGTGAGCAAATGATGTTGGAAAAATGGCGCCAATAGACTTGCTCAATGCAGGGTTGCCACAAACCTTCAATTTGTAAAAAAATGTCTATATATTCTTAGGCATACGTTTTTCTGCTTCTTTAATATGAGGAATAGTGTTTGCTGAGACTGAATGAATAGTTTAGATATTGCAAATCGGTATTTAGTTTTCAGTTAAGCATATGCACGTCATAAGCAAAATAACAGGTTCTAGCTTTTCAAACCCAGGAATCCAAAAGTGCGTTTTCTTCGTCTATGAAGTAGATTACAACGTTTTGTAGGATCGTGGTCCTAGCATTTAACTATCACCAATTGCTCTGTGATGTAAGACTAACCTGCCTCTTCTAATATCACTCTTTCTCCTAGGTATGTGTCATGAACAATGTCACCTGTACTCGGGTCTATGAAAAAGTAGAGTAAAACTTTCATCATCATTTTGGATAGGAAGCTGAGAGGATGAACAAGCTCAGTTCAATGAGCAAATCTCCATACTGCTTTTTTTTTTTTTCATTACTGTGTTCAATTTTCTTTATCACAAACATTTTACTTTAACTATTTCAAAGTGTTGGTTTAATTAGGATCATCTCTTTGGTTAGTAAATAAATCTGTTTGTGCTATACCAGTTTTGCATGTTTTTTTAAGCTTTATAGGAATTTAGTGCTGAGTTTTAACATTTATGAATGGAATAAATTCTGGGGTAGCCTTGAGGTTACCATATTGAGATTATATTTTAGTAATTTATATGTAGAGCTACTTCTGTGGCAAATAAACTACCAATCATTAATCTTGCCCTATGCTATTTGAACTTTGTATCAACTCAAGAATCTTCAATTTGTGGCAGAGACTGTTCTCGTTGAAAAATAGCTACATAAATAAACTTTATAATTTAAATATTAGAATAAAGGTTAAATCACCATCATTGACTAATAATCATACTTTTAATAGTGTGCTTATAACTATTACTCAGGAATTCTGAGCCAGAAATTCATTTAATAAACTTTCTGAGGCCCTACCATGTGCCAGGCAGTCTTCCAGAGGTTAAGGTATATCTGAACACAAGGACAAGTCATTGCACTCACTGTGACAAGAAGCACTCAGCTTTGAAAGCACATAGTGTGCTCATTAACAAAAGCCGTAATAGTAATTGAGCTCTGAATGAAATACCTGTGTGTATATATAAAGAATAACTAGAATTCTGGTGACTCCTGTCCTATTTCTTAAGCCAAATAACAAATATCTCCAATTCACATTTGGAGAAATTCCTATAGGCACTGGGCTAAAACTATGTACATGATCCTCAGAGCAATACTTAGGGGAACTTGTAACATTATCTATGTGCTGCAAATAAGAAAATAGGTTTTTGACTACCTAACTTGTTCAAGGACATAGGAAGCAGGAGAGTTGGAGTGGGAACCTACAACTCATGGAGTCCACTCATGACTGGTCAATCATTCTACAGCACTGCCTCTTCTCAGTGGTATAAAGATCTTGAGTTTAAAGTACCTAAATGTAGTAACTGAGACTTTTCTGAAACTACTCTCTATGCACTAAAATATTAGCTGGCAAGAATCTTTAATTACTGAAAGCTAGCAGTCAATGAAAGAGTTGGACTCACTGATACCCTAGCTCTGTGTTGTCCAATATATAGCTGTAGCCCCAGGTGGCTGATGAGCACTGGGTAAGTAAAATACACATAAGATTTAAAGAACTTTATACCAAAAAAAAAAAAAAAAAAAATGGAAAACACCTCTGATGTTTTTTATATTGATTACATGTTGAAATCGTATTTTTGGATACAGTTGGTTACCTAAATATTGTATATTAATCAAATTAATTTTACCTGTTTCTTGTCTTTTTAATTGTGGCTAGGGAATATTTAAAAATTACATGTGCTAAAAAAAATTACATGTGCTGGCCTTTTTTTGGGGGGGTGTCCATATTTTTAGTTGGACAGTGCTGTTCTAGACTTCCTTTTCTATTTGAATTTCATCTTGTTTATTTTCGTCTCCATACTAGAGTTCCTCTTTCATCCCCCTTTTCCACTTCTAATAATAGTGTACATTTATACGACTCCCTGAACCGAACACTGGGCCAAGTACTTTTAAAAGTTTTATAATTCTCAGAACCACCCTAAATGATGTGTATTAACAAATGTTTTCTGCATTACTTAGGTGAGGAAACTAAGTCTCAGGGTCTAGGTAATGATTCCAAGCCGTACAGCTAGTACGAGTCAGAACAGATTGGAGCACAAGTTCATCTGACTAAAACCTGTGCAACCAGCACCATGTTCTAATGTCTGTATTGCTTCAGTTTATGGACAGTGGAGTATTACTAGAGGAAGGGTAGGCCCATGTTTCTTCCACGGCGGGAGTTGTTGACATTTTGGGTGAGAGAACTTTTCTTCATTGTGCTGAGCTGTGGCAAGTCAGTGTCCTAAGATCATTACCACAAAATGCCCATGGCACCCATCAGTCTACCCCAAACACCCTATACATTTCCAGATGTCTTCTAAGGGTATGGTAGCATACCTAGTTGAGAACCACTGGGTAGAACAAGAACAAATGTAGCTCAGCTTCATCTTATCTAGTGTCAATCAAGCCCTTCTTTCTGCTAAGCAATCCTTTAACATCAGTTCACCCCTTGTCAAAAGGTATAAACTAGTGCCTTCATTGAATATTTTTATTTTCTCTTAACTGGTAGTATGTTGGAATGTATTCTGTTTAGTTCTGCAACACACTGCATGTGTTGGGAGTTTCACTCCCTGAGTTTCACCCAGGTCTATCAGATCTCCTGTTTTCTTCTCTATGCTTCAACACTTTATTGCCGATAACTTATTGGACATTTCCCTATAGATGTCACGTTTAATTTCAAACTGGTTTAATCTCTCTAAAATTTAGTGTGATGATTTAAGTGTTTGGACTTTGGAAGCAGACAATACTGGAATCCAATTCTGGCTCTCTACCCTTTTAAGGATTGTGTGACTTAGGGCAGGGTTACTTAACTCCTCTGAACTCTAGTTATAACCTTTGTAAAAGACACAGACCTACTAGAGAACGGACTTGAGGATATGGGGAGGGGGAAGGGTGAGCTGTGACAAAGCGAGAGAGAGGCATGGACATATATACACTACCAAACCTAAGGTTGATAGCTAGTGGGAAGCAGCCGCATAGCACAGGGAGATCAGCTTGGTGCTTTGTGACCGCCTGGAGGGGTGGGATAGGGAGGGTGGGAGGGAGGGAGATGCAAGAGGGAAGAGGTATGGGAACATATGTATATGTATAACTGATTCACTTTGTTATAAAGCAGAAACTAACCATTGTAAAGCAATTATACCCCAATAAAGATGTTAAAAAAAAAAAAAAAGATACAACATTGCCTGACTTGTAGCACTTCGCATAGGGCCCAGCACATAGTAAAGGCTTAATGTCTCTCCAGTACTGCCCAACAGAACTTTCTGCAGTGATGGAAATGCAGTGTATCATCTGCACTATTCAACACATCGGCACTAACCCCGTCTAGGTGGGTATGGAAGCACTTTAAATACGGCGAGTGCAACTGAGGAATTGAATTTTAAATTTTATTTAATTTTCATTAATTAAAATGTAAATTTAAATACCCACATATGGTCAGTAACTGCTGATTTGGACAGCACAGGATGGTAACCTCATGTTTTCCAAAATCAGGTTTCTTATTTTGATTCCAAACCTACTCCTCTTGTGGTATTTGTTCATCTCAATCCATGGGAATGTTATTTTTCTAGTTCTCTAGCTAAATGCTTTGGAGTCATCTTTAATTCCTTTCTTTCTTTCCCATACTATAGCTAATCCACTAGCAAATGATTTCAGCTTTACTTTCAGAAAGTATCTAGAATTCAAGTACTTCTTACCTCTTCCACAGATACCACCGTGATTCAGACTCCACTGTTCTCTCTCCCTTGATCTCCCTGTTTGCATTTTTATTCTTCCAGAGCTATCATTTTAAAATACACGTTTAAATATGTCACTCCTCTGGTGAGAATCCTCCACTGGCTTCTCATTTCATTCAGAGTAGAAGCCAAGATATTTGCAGAGGTCTTATGTGATCTTGCCGCTTCTCCTGGTTGTTTTCTCCTTTCACTCTCTTAGCAAATATTCCCTTCCAGTAGACCATTGTTGACACAGCTATGCTCCTGCCTCAGGGCCTTTGCACCTATTGTTGCTGCTGCCTGGAACAATCTACCTTCTGAAATCTGATGCCCAGGCTTTCTCTGCTTTCTCACTTCCTTAAAGGAAGTCTCTTCTCAAATGTCACCCTAGCAGTGAGTCATCCCCAGAGTGTATATTTGCTACCACCCCTCCCACATACTCTGTATTCCCCTATGCTGCCCTTGCCCTTATCACTAGTCCTGACTAACTATATGTTTACTTGGTTTTTCGGTTAAAAAAAAATTTTTTTTTATGGTTATTATCTGTCTCTCTCCCTGGAAAGTAAGCTCCATGAAGAAGGGGCTTTGTTTTTATCGTGTTCTCTATCACTCACCTAGGAAACAACCTAGCACATAGAAGATGCTCAATAAATATCTGTTAAATGAATAAATTCATTAATAAATTAATGACTCTTCTGTGGGTATTTAACATATTTTAATATTATTTAAGACCCTTTATGATTTTGCTTCAATTTATGTTATTTTTTTAAACCATATTTCTTACCTTTGTACAAATCATTCAACTTAATTAGGTCATTTACTTACCCCAGAGGTAGTGTACCTGATGACTGTAGAATATGAATGTTTGAAATAGGAAGTAAGGAACGCAGTCTAGTTTCTGAACTGGCATGCTGTGACATTCTGCCTCACCAAGAACTAGGCTGCCTGATTGTGAGCAACATTTAAAACTTATTTTACTGCAGCTGAGTATTTTGCCAACAGGCAATGTCTGTCAAACAGAACTTGACCTGAGTTGTTTGTGGAGCGTGGTCCAGATTAGATACAATTTACCACAAGTCAAATGGTTTAACATAAGTCAAGTTCTCACCAAAGAAAAATGTACAGGCAAGAGATGACTTAACTTTCAGATTATGTCCTTGAGTGCTGCGAAGGCATTGACTGTTCTCTTCAAGCAGAATGAGTGCCTAAGGATGCAGGGTTATTGGCGCATCACACCTGTGAGGTCTTTCTAGGCAATATGTGGCTTTGCTCTATGCTAGTATAATTATGTTTCATTTATTGCTAATTTAGCGGTTTCTTGAGTCTTAACCTCGTCAACTGTTTTCTCAAAATTCTGGTATTTGAAATTATGCTAGGACCATAAAATGATGGAGGACCATGTGTTTAGCACCTAGATTTTAGTTTTGCTAGCTCAGTTGAGGCTCTTACTCAATTCTTGCTGCTTATTAATTAATGATTATTAATGTACTTAAAATTCACTTTTTTCTATTTTTTTAAAATTGGGGTATAATTGCTTACAGAGAAGTGAATCAGCTATATGTATACATATATCCCCTTTTTTGGATTTCCTTCCCATTTAGGTCACCACAGAGCACTGAGTAGAGTTCCCTGTGCTATACAACAGGTTCTCATTAGTTATCTATTTTAGGCATGGTAGTTTATATATGTCAATCCCAATCTCCCACTTCATCCCA